CAGAAGGCAGTCCTGGGTGAGCAGGAGTTGTGAGTGGGGAGGAAGGAGTATGTCTCAGCATCTGCACAACCCTGAGAGAGTCTGGGAGGACAGCAGCTGGGAACACAAGAGTCAAGAAGATGGGTCTGTAGAGCAGCGCCCCACCAGACTGGCCCATGGTCCTTCTGTCTGGGCTGTGCCAGGGGTGGCCGTGTGGGGTCTTAGTCAATGACAGGTGTCAGGGCATCGCCCCTGGCAGAGAGGCAAGGATGCTGCCACCTCACTTCCTCAGGAAGTCCTGCACAGTTAGACTGTGTCCAGTTAGTGTGACAGCCAATCCGTGAGGATGGCGGTGGCGCAGGGGACTGCTTGAAACTAAGGGGGAGGGGAGAGGAAGCATGGCAGAGATACCAAGGGAGTGGAGGCAAGATCGCGGCAGGAGTGGAGGAAAACCCCTTTTGGCCTTGGGTGGTGGCAGCACGATAAAGGGTATCTGAGTCACTAGGGAAGGCATGGGATAACTGGAATGGGTTTATACATCAACCTCCCTCACTTCCTTTCGAGTCATTTGGTTGTTTTCAAATTCTCCACCCTTTGCCAGCTCCCGCCTCTCCCCATCAAATCCGGTTTTTTGTGTGTTGTGTGTATATGTGTATTTACACATATAAATGCTCAACTGGCTCTAAGTAAGAATAAAATTAGCTAAAAACATAGGAAATTGTGACTATTTTTGACCTATAAAAACTTTTTTTATATGGTTCAACACGATATGGTAAATTAAAGTAAAAACTCAGGTAGAAACCCTTCATGAACCAATGTGTTCCCAGCTCTGTAATTGTGCTTCTTGTATCTTATTTCAGTCAGAGGCTCTGTTGTGAGACGTATCCAAGGCGGTAGAGTGCAAGTTCATATCGTAGTTGGCTACAAGCCAGATGAAGTTCAGGCAAGAGCATGCCCTGAGATTGAGTGATAAACTTGCTTCAGGTTCTCTTAACCAGCCACAGAACCTGTCTTTCTGCACTTCCAGCATGTTTGTACCCCATGTGTCAGTTAGGCTTGCTTTCAGGTGTCAAGAATGACATAGGACTCAGTCGAGCTCAGGAAACAATTTCAGCAATGACAACACCTTTCAGGATGCCGCAGAGAGCCTGGAGGTATGCCCAGCTTTACTCCTGCCACTTCTCCTGGACCTTCCTGCTTTTCTGTCACTCCAAGGAACAATTCTCATAGTGTCTTGAATTCTCACTCCCAAGGTGAGGGCATTTGCTGGGTCAAGTTCGTCATCATCCAACAGGGAATACCAACAGATGGCTACCACAGATTTAAGGACCTGCTACATAATTTATAAGGTCTGGTACAAAATGAAAATGTGGGCCCCTTGATCGAAAATTATTTAGAGTTTCAAGATGGCCTCAGCAGAGCCCTTCTGAGTGTGGGGCCCTGTGTGACTTCACAGGTTACATGCGTATGGCCAGTCCTTGTTGGCCAACGTTCAAAGACCAAGGTTATCATCTGGAGCCAAGAGGGTCACAAGATATGAAACCTCCTCAAAAGACCACCAATTTGCCCTTCCATGCCAGCCCATAATCCCCAACTACTTTTCACAGGTGCTTACTGATGGCCTACATGTGTCATGGCAAGGAACTGGACATGGAATGTGGCAAAGAATTTAACTGCGAGTAAAACAGGGCCAAATCAAGGAAGCGAGCTTTGGAAAACAGTCATTACAGGGTGATGCCTAAATTATCCAAATGATTAACACAAAAAGCTGGGGGAAATCTTCATGAAAGAGTCCCCAGGCCTAAGAGTATAAGCTGGGGTCACAGGTAGGCAAAGTTCTGAACTACCCTCACCTTTTGTGTGCCTTCACTTGGCCTCCTGCGAAACACAAGTGAGGAGCTCACTAGGCGAGCTGCCCAGTCCAAGCATGGCTGGCCAGAATCCCAGGGATTCACATATGCAGAATAACTTTCAAGCAAAATAGCATTTATTCATTATCTTCAGTTTCAAGTTAGTAAAAGAGCTGCTTGTGATTTGGACTTTCTCAAAGGAATTGCGCGCCCTCTGCTGGGTACTAAGTAGCATTGCCACTAAGCGGTCCACTCTCAATGCCCCAAAATCAGAAGATACAGGGCAGCGTGGCCCACAAACATTTTTGGCACCAGGGACCAGTGCTCCTATGAGAATCTAATGCCTGATGATTCGAGGTGGAACTGAGGGGCGATGCTAGTGCTGAGGAGCGGCTGCAAATACAAATGAAGCTTCGCTTGCTCACCTACTTACCTTCTGCTCTGCGGCCCGGTTCCTAACAGGCCACAGACCTGTACCGGTTTGCGACCCAGGGTTTGGGGACCCCTGCTTTAGGGATTTAACCTTGTATAAAAACCAGTGACAACAATAACCCCTGCTGCTAAAGTTATTAATTATATGCGTTAAATATGGATTTGGTAATAGGTTGAATTTTTAAATGTGTCATGACTCTTGGGTTCCTAATAAAAATTATTCACTCAGTTCTTTATCTTAGAGAAGCAAGCTAAACATTGAAGTTCTGAGTGTTCCAATAGGACTTTTCTCCTCATTTAAGAATAAAATGGTCACAGAAACTTTTACAGTGAAGGGCACGTGGTCCAGGGAGAAGACAAGGGTTTGGAGATCAGGCAACCTATGTTGGAATCTGCTTACTATTTGAACAACTTGGAATAAGTCCTTTAACTTGGAACACATCATTTAATTTTAAGTCATCATCTCCTGATCAATGAGGACAATAATGTTCACCTTCAAAGTGGACATGAGGGCTAGAGATCATGTGTCTAAGGCACACAGAAGCACTCAGCTGTGACGGCCATCGTTACTGTTACTATATTATTAAGACGTGGATCTAAGTTGGGCTTCAAAGGATAGGCAGCTCCTGGAACCAGATTCTGTTTCCAGAGGACAGAGGCTACATCTGGAGTCCTTTGTCTAGTTCAGAGAATTCACCCCTGGGTCACAAAGGCAGTGTTCATGCTGGGCCCTCAAGTCTCTTTGGAACCAAACACCATCCGGGGTGCTGTCTTCATGAAGTATACCTCTTGCCAGGCACATCTGAACAATTCTACCTCTAAGAGATATTCCAAGTCCTATTTCCATCACCATCTTGCTACTCTGTCACCATTCTCTCTCATTTGAGCCAATGCAAAGCTCTTGTCTTTCCACTTCTATTCTTGCCTGATCAAACCCAGAGTGACTTGTGCTTAAAAATACAAAATATAATCTGATCAGGCCAGTCCCCTATTTCTTCTTACCTGCCTGCCCACCTTGTTTGTAATTTCAGTTCCACCTCCCGGGTCTATGCAATTTGCTCTCTCTACAATCAGTCTTCAACCCCCAATTCTTCCTCTGGCTACTCCTACCCATCTTTCAGGTGCTGGCTCACAAACTCAAGGAGGGTGTAAGAAATATCATATTTTATTATTTTCTTCAAAGCAAGTTAAATGTTTTTGGCCCCACTGTGCTGGAGTGCACTACACACGCTTTGACCCAGAAAGCTGCAGGAATCAAGGCACTGTAGAGCCTCTCACCTCCCTCTGCAGACACTTTCCTCCTTGGGTGTTTTGATACGTTTGTAAACCACCCTACAACATCAACCTCAAATTTCTTGTGCTCACTGTCCTCAAGCCAGTCCTAGATGACCAGATTCGAGAGCCCCAGCTGATAATTTGGCCTAGGTTTGGTCACCCAGCTTCTGTTTCCATGAGCTATGGCTCTGGCACCATCTCACAGGTCACAAACTTGGACAGTTCTCAAATGAGGGTCACAAGCCAAGCAGATAAACCAATAGCTGTATGTCATACTGATTCAGTTAACAACTTTCATATTTTACTGGTCTACCAATATTCCTGGGAAAGGCTGGGCCTATAAGCAAGGCTGGATTAATATGAACATCTACTAAGCTCCTAGGTGTGTCTTAGATATTATATGCCACAAAGTTGTAGAAAAACCCTCATTTAATTAGAATATGGAAGAACATTATAGGTACTTTAATTTTTTGAAAAGCTTTGTTTTCTCTTGGTATAAAAATTTTTTCTAAACATAATTCTCTTTTCTATTGGGTTGTTTTTCTTTGGTTATTGGAGGGACTAGTGCCTTGGGATCTTTATTCTGAGATGACTTTGAGGCAGGACACTGAATCACAGGAAGATTAGCCTGGATGCGTCTGGATTATTGGAGAGTTGCAATAACCATGTTTCTGATGAAAACCCTACAAGCGGCTCATTTGTGATATACTTTCTCCTAAAAGATGGGTACATAGAAAGATCCAGTAAAAAAAAGATGAGAAATTTCAATTATTCAGTATTTTCAGTACTTCAATGAGTAGAGAAGTATAAGCCAGGGTCTCTTTCCACAGAATTTACAGTCTGGATAGAGAACAAGACAGACATCTCTTAATGGAGGCAAATAACTCCAGCAGATCAATCTACGTGAACATGGTTTGCAAAATACAAATTCTCATAGAAATGTATAACTAAATATTGACTCCATGGTGTTTTGAGTTACATCTCAAAGGGTTTTAAGAAAATAAATCCCATTACTGGATAAAACTAGTGTCCATCTAGCCCAAGAGCCTTTCCCAAGGCACCTAAAGAAGTGGTAGGGAGAGCAGAGGGACATGCCAAATGTCCTTTTAATTTGTAAATGTGTCCAAAGTTTGAAAAGCCCTTGGAGAATCCTAGGAATCCCGCAGTCAGTGAATGGGTTTCTAAATGTCCATTGCATCTGCAGGCATCATATACATCCACTCAGACTGCTTCTCTGAGTGGGCGTATATGAGAAGTTAGTAATTCACCTTATGTCAGCTTCCTTTTTAGCCTTTTTCTCTCATAGCTTTGATATCCTGTCACAGGACAAATATAAGTAGTTGGGAAGTATTAAACTCTGATAGTAAAGCAAAATTAGAGTTAACCGCAAATGTTTAACCAAACATGTTTAAACACAAGCTAATGAATGAAGAACTTTAGGTTCAAAAAGCCAAATATTCTGCATTCCTGAGAAATCTCAATCTGTTTTTCATTCTGGTGAGTATTTCCACATTGAACTTTGCTGCCACAAACTAAGTGGATGTACATTTCTGAGTGCTGATCTATCATTAAAAGATATGAATTAGGAGACTGAAAGAAACAATTTGTATCTATGTATTTAAAAAAATCCGTCCATGAAAAAGGAGCCAGGTGTCAGTTTCCTATGGGGGGAACGTTCTCATGGAGGTACTGTAAGGCCAAGTCGGTCCACTTCATTTCTTGTTCTTTAACAGATTCTGTGGTGCCACCGTTGTCCTGTTCAGGTTCAGGAAGCTCATTCTGAAAAGGTACAATGGACATTCAGAACGATGGAATACCGTACATCAACAAACCCTTTAAAACTCAGCGCACCGAGACTTAAAACGTGGGAGTACCCAGAAAGAGGCAGCATAGTTGATAGAAATATATCCTAAAGAAAGAGCTAGAACAAAAAGACTCGAGGTCAAGTATTAGCAATATCACTCAGGGCCTCTCCAGCAAGGCATGATGTCCTTATGGCTCTAGCACTTGTGCAGGAGGCAGTGTGGCAGAAGGCTAAGGGCACAAGTTTCTGGAAGCCACGGGGATCCAAGCCCATGACTTCACTGCTGGGTTACTCAAGCAAGGTATTCAAACCCTTGGTGCCTTGGTTTCCTCTTTGAAAATAAGAGAAAAAAAAGAAGCCGCCGTTGATTACCTCAGAGGACCTCTGTGAGGCCTGAATGTGGTAATTTAGATCAAGTTTGTGGCACTGTGCAGGGCACCCGGTGCTCACAGTACACTTGCTATTATTTTAGTGGCTGGGAAAACTGAAAAGAGCCAATATTAAGTATTTTCTGGGGCAGGCTGCCTTAAAAAAATACCACGTTTGCTGGTATATTCCTTAAGCACAAGAAATGTATTCAAAAACTATGCTGTGCCCAACACACCTATATGATAGTGGAGGTAAGTAGGAGCTCTGAAAATGTAACACGAGACCTCCCCCTAGTGGTGGCATAAAACGTGGCCAATGCCTACTTCATATCCTGCCAGCATTTCCTTTAAGTGGTAAGCAAGGGGGTCACTCTTAACAGTAGAATCTGGGATAGTTTCGTTATATATTTTTTCCCCAGATTTACTGAGATTTAATTTACATATAACATTGTGTAACTGTAAAGTGTACAACATGATTTGATACACATATACACTGGGAAATGATCACCTCGATAAGGCTGGTTAACACATCACCTCACAGTTCCCATTGTGTATGTATTGTGAGAACTTTTAAAATTGCTTCCTTATACTTTAAATTTATTACTACCAGGTCTCTGCTTTGTATCAGAGTTCACTGATACCAATATATTTGTTTTTAATTATCTAAATTTATACTTTTTTTTTAGGCTTAGCAAAGTGTTACTCAATATCCAGACTTATGATTTCCCACTGGATTCCAATTTGCGGCATAGAAATATAATGTTTTCCTCATTTAGAATTATATTCAATGTATATAAAATGATTTACTTATAATATGACAAGTATATATGAATCACATACATCTTGCTCTAAATATTAAGACTACAATTCAAACACACTTATATGAATTGAAAAGAACTATCATTTATTGTAAAGCAATAAAATGTTCAAATTTAAAGAGAAAATTTGATTCCAATAATTACTCATAGTTGACAAAGCATAATAAACAAATCCTTGCTTAATTATTTAATTCAGAGGCAGGCAATTTTGCTCAATTTCAACCCATCTGTGGTATGCGTTCTAAAATAATGTCTTTCATTTGGTCACTATTATCTCCTGGCAGTGAATGCTAACATACAAAATTGCATATGTGCTTAGAAAACAAACAGAATACCATAAATGCAATAATCTATTATGGTATATTGTAAAATGGCTACAATTCTTTGCAGCTACTCCTGTGAAAAGGCAGAGGCTATTTCCCTAGTCTTAGATTGGGACTGGCCAGGTGACTTCCTCTGGCCAATGTAAAGCAGCTGCAGTACCAGTGAGCCAGCTCTTGGCCTAAGTTCCATGAAGATTGCAGTTTCTTCTCGTGCTGCTCCTGGAACCCTGAGATGGCCATGTGAAGTCTGGGTTAGTCTGCTGGATAATGACAGACAGCGCCCTAGTCACCTCATCATCCCAGCTCACAGTCTGCTTAACTGCCAGACATGAGAAAGTGTCCTCAATTACTCAGCTTCCAACTAGCCTGCTGGCTCTCTGCAGAACACAGGCAAGTCCAGCAGGGATCAGTCAAGCTGGTGAAGACCAGAAGACCCTCTCAGCTGAGCTAAAAAATCATGAGATAAGTTGCTATTATTTTAAGCCACTATGTTTTAGTGACTTGTTAGGCAGCACCAAAAGCTGGTACACACAATGCCTTAGAATCTCAAGACATGGGAAAAGACATGGATTAGCAACTGGGCCAGGCTACAATCTGGAAATTTCCCTCTCTTACCCCCTACCACACAAATGATCCTCAAATCCAAACATAAGCATATCCAGAATTTGGCAATCCCCCTCCATTTTCTTGCCATTGTTCAGGCCCTCTCCCCTTACCTAGACCAATGCAGTAGCTTCCTAACTGGTCTCTCTGCCCTGTCACTTCCCTCATTCTCTATGGCAGACATTCCTTGACAATGCTGCTGAACTAATTTTCCAAAACTTAAATTTGAGCATGGCAGACTTCTATTTTGAAGACCACTCATTCCTTGATATCCTCAGGATAAGGTCTAAGCATGGTATCAAACATCCCTCTCAAAATGTAGTCCAAGCCCAACTTCTCTGCCTACCTTATATGACAAACATATTCTCTATCCAAACTCTCTTTCAGACTCTTTCAAAGCTCTGAGTCTCTGCACATCTGCCTCCTCTGATGGAGTACCCTTGTCTACCCCTGCTAAACTTCTGATCCTCCCTTAAGAGCAGCTGAAACATTATATTCCCTCTGAGCCACTTCATACACTATAAGCTGTTATGACCCCTACTTAGAACCTATATAAGTATTTATTTATGTACGTTACACCTCTAGATTCCCAGGGGCAGAAACTAGCTTATGTTCACATAGTCTATGGCACAAAGAAGGCCTCAAAGAAATGCTTGTGGGATGAAAGAAACAAAAGTTTACAGGACAGAATCTATTGCCTCACAGAGCTAGGTGTGAAGTCCACCTTATCAGCTACCCCACCCTGGGTAAGTTCCCCTTTCTGATCCTATTTCCTTTCTGTAAAGGAAAAACACCCTTATAAGGTTGTTTTAAGGATTAGAGATAATGTATGTCAAATTTCAACCTTGGTCCATGGCATAAAACTGCTATTAAATAAGTGGCAGCTATAATTCTCATTATGCTCTTTTGACTATTTTTCTAAACTTGAACTAAGCTATGACTTATTATGTGATATGTGTGTTATTCATTGAACATATTATCATCTCCTATTCTTAAATGAAAATGTGGGTGAGCTGAATTTTCTCTCTGTAAACAGCAGCTGTATTCTACTTATAAGCTGTATTTTATTGATGGCTCTTCTCAGGGTAGTCAGTGTGCACTGAAGAAAAATAGTCCCCAGGCCCTGATCTTTGTCCTTTGTTAGGCCTCTATGACATAAAAAGGATATTTAATAAGCATTTATACAAGCAAAACTTTTAGGTCACTTATTATACAAGGTTTAACAAACTCCTTACAGAGCGGTTTCTCAGAGATCAGGAAAGAGTATTCTAGGAGCTTGATGGTCTAAATGCAAAACAAGAAAAGCCAGATGTCTTCTGAATATTTCCAGGGAACCTAGGATAGGCATGTGTTCCAAGAATGTGAGTTTTTAAATATGTCAACAGACTGACAAGCCACAGGCTGAGAAGTAAGACATATTGTTAGTTTATATGCCACTGCTTCTTGTTCTTCCCCATCTTATACATTAGACTCTTAACTGGTTTATTGGCTTTTGTGTGGTCAATAGAAAATGGCTCAGAAGACCTGTGTTCCAGTCCTGGCATGACTCCTAACTGCGCTGGTCATGCCAGCTCTCTGAACCACACTTCCCTTCAAATAAAAAGTCTAGATGCTTTCCAGAAGCTTCTAGAATTAGAGGACTCTCAGCTTTGACTTCTTTGCCCTACTACTTTATTTTTCTGTTGACATTCTACCTCTACTAGAGCCCACCAGATCATATCTTTAACCTAACATTCTGAGCACAAAGTGGAGCCTACCAGTGGTATTGCAACATCCTCATAAGGCAGCTTATCTTCTCGCCAAGCATCGTCAATCAAATCCAAGATCCTTCCATCTCTCTGTACCTCACTGTCCATTCTCCTGAAGCTTTGATCTTGTCAAACCTGTAAGCCAAAGAGGTTACTTCTTAAACACGAAGACTGAGGAGCTGATGTAATCCAGCACTGGGATTCCCTGGGCTTTTTTTTTTTTTAGTCTAGATGTGTCTTTTGGCATAATATCACCTTGAGAAAGAGCCATCTTCTCATCTGAGTCAGGTGACAACTTATTTATAAGATCACAGTCCCTCCCCTCTTCCCCCACCTGCCTTCGACCTTGGCTGATGGATTCTTTATAGTGTACACTAAACAGACATCAGACATAGCCCAGTTGACAGCCCAGTGTCATAGTATGACAGGAAGGCAATATATTTGAAGGCCTCCTTTATGAGGCCACAGCACAGAAAGAATGTAGCTTTTCTCTCCTAACTTGCACCTTCACCTTTCCCTGCTCAGGATGCCTTTGGTGAGTCCCTGACTCATAACCAAGTCTCTCTGGCCCCTCTAGCCTTTCCCGAACCATTTTTTACAAGTCTCCACCTGCCTTGGCTCTAATCTTGGCACTCTCAGGCACAAGAGCTAAATGAACATACCGAGATTAATCCTGAACTGGGTTATACAAAGTGACCAACCACAGACCTGAAAGAAATCCTCATCCGAACTTGTAAAGGAGATGGCCTTTCCCAAGAGGGCACCCAGGCTGAGCCCGGAAAGGAGCACCTCCAGGTGAACAGTAGTGGTAGGATCCCACGCTGCTTATTTCTTCTTCCTCTGATTCTTAATGCTGTACCCCCTTTAATGCCTGGCCCAAGTGGTCAAGATGATTGCTTAGCTCCTTGACCATGACCAATTACCCAATTTTTTTTCTAAACAACTGTAGCCAGCTTAGAAGATACCTCTGGGTTCCTTTTTCCAAGTTTGGGCTCTGCTTCTTCATCACAGGTATCACTCTGTTGTGCTCCCTGGAAGTCAATGGCACCAAAGGTACTCTCAGTCACCTGAGACTGAAGACTCATACAAGAAACGATCTGGGGGTGGAATCCAACTCCTTCATTTAGGCCTGTGTTGTCCCCAAAAGTCCCCAAAAGATAGCCCTAATACTTGGGTAATGATTATATAGGTTAGTATGGAGGATTTTTACCCCTATGATAAGGACCCAGGCCAAACTGACGCAAAAGGTACCCAGCTACTTCTGCCAACAGTGAAACAGATGAGGTCTTAATGTTCACACAAGAATTAATACAGTACCATCTAGTGAATGACTCAATTAAGTTGAAAGATCCTATCCTCAGGAAATTTACACACAAGGGGTTCTTCCCCTCAGTTCCAGTTATATTTCTGGAGTTCCCATTCTACAAGAGCCCTCCTTTTTTTTTTCTGCTGCCGCTCCTTTGTCCTTGATGCTCTGGCCTCTGGGATAGCCTCCTCCCTTTTCTCTGCTGATTTTCTCAAGTCCGCACACTTTTTTCATAAAGTATTCTCGCATCACTCTAGCTTCAGCAGGCAGCCTGCCCTGAATACCTTCTTGTCCTCACGATCCACTAAGTTAGGTCGCCTTTGTGACAGATTGCTCAGGTACTATCATTTCCAATTGTTATGTGTAAATTTTATTATCAGCGACAACACGTTCCCCCTATTTGGCCTCAATCTTTTTTCACCTGTCCTTCTTCCAAACATCTCTAACCCAATCGTACAATTCCACTCTTTGCACTTAAAAGCCTCTTTCCCCATTACTAACGCGTGCTCTTCCTTCCAAACTCAACGTGGGCATCACATCATCAGAGTCAACATCCTATTTCCGGAGTTAAACGCTAAAGTGTCTTCACTCTTAAGGGGCTGGAAGAGTGGAAAGCATTAAGAGAGGCAAATTCCAGGACACGGCCATTGTCCCAAACACTTGCTACATTTGACAGAATTAACTGCTACCAGTTTCCTGAATACATTTTTGTTATGCGTGTAATACTCCCAATGCCTGGATGCTTTTCCCTCTTCCTTTCTTCTCGCAGCTAATCTGCCTTGAACTAAAAAACTTGGTTCGCAGGTCACTTCCTGCAGGTGGCTCCGCAGGTCCCTTAGTTCCCTGGGCATAGTGAATGATCTCGATTGGGAGCTTGTCACCTTGTCCGTTTCATGCTCTTCCCAGACACGTGGTGCGTGTGTTCCCTGGGGCAGGGGTACATTTTATCCATGCCTGTACTTTAGAGCTTTGTAAACACGTAATTACATGATCAAAGCAGGAAGATCTTGTTCCTCGCTAAAAATGACCCTCACAGACCACCACCATTCATACAGGTGTGTGAGGCCGACCCACAGCCCCGACTTCCCGCCCGAGGCTGGATATGTCAAAAGTGGAAACGGGGGACGTCCAGGTCCAGGCCCGGCCAGCGGAGAGGAGAGTGATGAGGAGGATGAAGTGAAGACATCAGCCTCGGCTGAAGGGAGTGGGGGAAGTGCGACGCTGAGGAACGAACGTAATCTCGCTCTCCGAAACCTAGGCGGAGGGCGCGGGAAACTCTTACCGGAAACAGAGCCAGCGAAGGAGCCGCGGCCGCCGGCGCCCACCCTCTGCCCCACGTGACACACTCGCCCTTTCCCTCCGAGACCCGGATGTGGGTGAGCCCAATTCGCTTCCGCGGAGGGGAGGTCAGGAATTCTATTAAAAGTGAGGGGGCAGGGGGCGGAACGAACGTACCGACGACGGGGGCTGGACGTCAGGTTGGCGGTGA